CTGAATATCTCCTTGTAGCAACAAAGCGATTGCAACAGGTGACAAAGTCGGGCAAGCGCGGCCAAACTGCACAGCGCATTTGTGCATGCCTCAATCCATACAAAAGCCCTCCGAAACAGCAAAAATAAGGAATTCAAGGCAGGACACGTCGAACGTCCTCACGCCCGCAAATCCAAACTAGAAGCTAAAAGTCCACTGCTGGGTGAAACGGCCTGGCAACTCCACACCAAGGTCTGCCTCCCGAAGACAGCCAGATTTCCGTAACGTAGGGGCCTTAATAATTAGAGTAGGGTTATGGGGTATATTATACTATCCTTATCCTAAAGAACTCCCAAAATAGTATAGGTAATTTAGGACCCCTATATCAGTTGGAGTGCTGCAGATTAGGACTACGAGCTCTGCGTCTTCGTCTTCGTGCTTGCCTGCGGTACAGCATGAGGGTTCAAGTAGCCAAACAAAAGGACTCATCATCCCTGAAATCAACAGAATCAACACCCCAGGCACATGGAATTGTGAGGCATAAAACCTAAAAAACATGTAGCGAGGTAGTGTTGCATCACGAGATTGCCTTGACTGGACAGCTACCTGTAGGAACCACTAAGCTCAAAATAGCAAGTCAAGTAGTAGTTACGTAGTTTTCGAGGTTCGTCGCTGTTGCTGCGGCTGTGAGTACGAGTAGTAGTAGCAGTAGTAGTAGCAGCAGCAGCAGCAGCAGTAGTAGTAGTAGTAGTAGTAGGTGGTAGTAGTAGTAGTAGTAGTAGTAGTAGTAGTAGTAGTAGTAATAGTAGGAGTATCAGTAGCAGTAGCAGCAGCAGCAGCAGCAGCAGCAGCAGCAGCAGCAGTAGCAGCAGCACGTCATCTTCGCTTTTCGGCCTTTTCATGGTCTTTCGTGCTGCTGTTTTCGTTGCTCTTATCTTTGGTGTAAGCAGGAGCTATTGCCGTCCTAGAACGGAATTTATCTACAATCCACAATAGAGGAAATGGCCGTAAGCTCTGCAGCTACACTGTGCAGTGTAGTTAGCACGTAGATGATAACCAAAAAACAAATTTATCAATCTGCATGCTCCTACAACACGCAAAATATGATAATATATGATATATGCGTCAGCATACAAGCACACAGCCACATCGCCACATACTTCTACCCTTTCAGAGGGTAGAAGGTACAGATTGGGGGACATCGACGGTTCTGGCACGGGTGCACCTCGTGAACTTCGACTGGTCGGCCATCCTCAGACGGCTTGGGCGGTTGGGCGTTGTAAGTACTGTGTGGTTTCTTGATTCTACGAACCCATGGGCCCCTAGTATGGGCCCTTAACCCTGGGACCCTAATATACCTACTATATACCCTGTATATACCCTTAAGGGACCCTAGAATCCCCTAAGGGCCCATGTTAGGGGCCCATGGGTTCAACCTTAGATTGATGTTATCAACCCTTGGAGAGCAAAGGGCTTTCTTGTTTTTTTCTTTGGGTCTTTGCCGTTCAAAGTTGTGCTGCAGTGCCCTCTTTGGAAGGGAAAGTGGGGTATGGAGAACACTTGCGTCACCCGGGTTCGGGTTTTGAGGAGTTCTATATATACCAGAACCTCTTTTGCCGAACCCCGTGTTAGGATTAGGGTGGTATTCTGGCCTGGGCTGGCCCGCCGGGTGTAACTTGACTGCACGGAGACTGTCTCTGAGCATAAACCTTGCGGCTTCGGATATGATAACGGCATCGCAAGACCATACTGCGCTGACATGCACATGCCAGAATCCAGAAACACCAGACTAAAACAATGTAATTACACGAGGAGCGGCACCATGATTGAATGATCAACACCAAAGCCTGAAGGCCGAAACAACCACAATTGAGAAGATCCCTGCCTAAACCCTAAACTCCCCAAACTCCCCAAACCCTGAACTCCCCAAGCCCTAAACTCCCTAAACTCCCTACAACTACATAAAACTCTGAACCTGAAGCCCGAAAAAGCCGAGTTCGTGGCCGAGTCAAGCCATTCGCCCGCCCGACGGATGCACGGATCACCCCCACCGAATATCTGTACCTCCAAATATGATTTTGGGGTTTGCTGTTTAAGCTGTTTACCGTTTAGGATTCTCGCTCATGTTGATATCATCACGGCGAAGCAACCCCGACGCCCTAGACCCTAGGTTAACACCGTTAAACCTGCAACCCTTAAATCCTTGCAAATCTTGGTGCGACTTAGGGTTCAGGTTTTTTTTTGAGCGCCTCTTTTCCGACTGCAGGTTTAGGGTTTAGGGTTTAGGGACCCTTATGCATCATGAAAGCCGCATGGTTGGACATATATACCACCACTCAACACATGTAAGACTCTAAGTGAGCCCTTTACAAACCTCCATGGAACTCTTACGCACAACGCCATACGATCCTGAACAAAGCTTTACACGTCACCTTAAAGCCAATGTATGACCTGAGATGAACCTCACGAACACGTTGAACAACACGTCTATGCGGCCCTGAAACAGAGAGCGAGTCCCTGAATCCAAAACACCTAATGCCTAAAACCTGATCTTAGTTAAACTCTGAACCCCAACCCTTGACCGTGGAACGCATGTGACGGAAGGGCCAAGGCGGTATGGGGATTTCTCAAACAAACTTATATAGGGCTCCTAACGATTTGGGCTAGACATTTGTATCCCAAACCTTCCAAGCCCCAATCCCAAAACGTGCTGAAGCGGGCTCTGCGGCGAGGGTTTTGACATAAGGCTCGCAGGGTGTAGGGCAGTGCGCAAGGCTTTTCGGAGAACTCTCTGGGTTGGTGCGTTCTGGTTAAGTAGGAAATTGCTTCTGCTCCTCGACTACTACTGCCGCTTCTACTACTACTACTACTACTACTACTACTACTACTACTACTGCTACTGCGGCTGCTACTACTACTACTACTACTACTACTACGACGACTACGACTACTACGACTACTACTACTA